CAAGTTGTACAAGTACAATGCTAAGGCAAAGAAATGTGGTTATAAGTTAATCTATCTGCCAACCTAATTAACACAGGCCTCGACGCTTAATTATTTTCAGATCTGTACAAAATTTACTTGCAATCTATGAGCCGTTAAGGTCTTCTTTTGGTTCAGTGCATATCATATTTCCAGGAGTGTATAATAGAGATCTATATTATATAAATAGATAGTAGATATATATATATATATATATATATATATTATATATAGAGATATATATCGATATTATACACTCCGTGCTGGCACGCTCATTGTGTGTCATTCCCGATTGCAGCTTTTTCCTCAATTCCAGGAATAAATTTTGCTGTCGTTCTCTGATCCCAGCGGTGCCCACGGCACCCCCTATAATGAACATGCCACACGCGATTTTTAAACAATCCTGCACTCCCCCCAACCCCGTACATCAATCAATATGCCGCTCCAGGCACGTATACACAGCCATGCTGTGCTGACTGTCGGCGACCTTTGATAATATTTAAAGTGAGGATGCCGTGCGATAGCCCTTCACAATCGCTAGAACTGTTTTTCATCAATGTTTGGATATATAACGTAAGGAACCAACATTTGATTAAAGTTTTAGACAATTAATTTTACTCGCCAACATGGGCGAGTCAGCTTTAGCCTTTACTCGCCCGATATTATTTTCGCTCGACATTGGCGAGCGGGCGAGTGCCAAACTCGTTCGATGCCTTCTTATCTGTGCTGCTGGCGTTTTCTCTGTACCATTTTGGCACGGTTGTTGGAACTGACTCTTCACATAGGACATGTTGAGCAGTGATGAGAAGAAAAAAAGACCATGAGCTCACGCAAAAAATACAGTACTAATTAACTGCAAAATGTGACGGTTAATCCACGCACAAATGATATAGCAGTACCTAGTGGAATATACAGGGGAAGTAAATATATAGTGAGTAAGTGTTTAGGGGAGACAACTGAGGAATTTGATACTGCAGTGTAGAATAATTTGTACTGGGGTGACAGTTATTGTACTGGGGTGACAGTTATTGTACTGGGATGACAGTTATTGTACTGGGGTGACAGTTATTGTACTGGGATGACAGTTATTGTACTGGGGTGACAGTTATTGTACTGGGATGCTTTCCATCTTTACCTTCCCCTACTCACCCTGCTACCCTTTTTACCTTCCCCAACTCACCCTGCTACCCTCTTTACCTTCCCCAACTCACCCTGCTACCCTCTTTATCTTCCCCAACTCACCCTGCTACCCTCTTTACCTTCCCCAACTCACCCTGCTACCCTCTTTACCTTCCCCAACTCACCCTGCTACCCTCTTTATCTTCCTCTAAACTCTTCAAGAACTGCTCTTTTCTGTTATTTAGCTTTACCCTCTCTAGCTCTTACACCTCCTCTATTTTGCCACCGTCTCTGCCTCCCCCATGCACCTCCTCTATTTTGCCACCTCTGCCTCCCCCACCTCCTCTATTTTGCCACCTTCTCTGCCTCCTCCATGCACCTCCTCTATTTTGCCACCTTTGCCTCCTGTACCACCTTTACATTGCCGACCTCCTTTGCGTTGTCCATCTCTTTTGCCTTCTGCAGCTTCTTTGCCTCATTTTACCTGCTCTCTGCTACTCCCCCAGTCTCTTCTGTAGTCTACTACATAATACATTTATCTCATAAATCTTTTTCCACGCTTCCCTGTCGGTACAGTCAACTCCCCAAATTCCGAACGCTCTCAAACCCGAATCTCACGTTAAACCGCCGCTCCCTACACCGTCTGAGACAGCTAAGACGCACCTTCCCTATAAACCGAACTTCACAGAAAACCGAACTAAATGGACAGTCCTAGGGGTGGTCGGTATCGGGAGAATTGACTGTACACACAAATGACAGCACACAACAATCTCTTCAGTTAAGCAATGAGTAAAACAAGTCGCGCATCGCTCGTACAACAAGGAAACATCTAGCTTTAATTAACTTTAGCTTAATTAATTAGCTTTAATTTAATTAATCAACATTATAACAGTTGGTTTTTTGGAGAGGAAGCGAGGGTGATTAAGAGATCGAGGCCTGAATTAAGCAACTAAATATTACATAAATGATATACATGTACTCGCATTCACTGTCATTGTTAGGGTAATATAATAGGTTACTACATGTGGGTGTCTGTTTTTCAGAAACATCCTGGTACCAGGGTTGTGTCCTTCCGGATGGCGAGAGCTTCAACCTCCAGATCAGCAATGCCTCCTCACCAGCTCTCTGCAGTGCGGCCTGTCTCGCACAGGGGTATGTGCAACATGTAGTATTGTCACCTTGCGCAGTGTTGAAGGAATACTTTTTCCATAGAATTTTAGAGTATATTATGATAGTATGTGCATAAATAATAGCATATGCCTACAAATTTGTATAATCATGCATACACACATTTGTCATAATACAACAGTAAATTTCGAATCTTGACTGCTGACAATGACGTGACACTGCGCGATTGTGCTGCCACCCTGAAAAAGTTAACATACAAAGTCTGCTTTAGTTTTAATAGTAATGGTACGCCAACTTTGAGTGCCTAGCTGTAAAGGGCCGGACACACTAGGCGATGGCATCGGGCGATGTACATCCGCGATGTAATCGCCCGATTCTATCGCGCGAGTCGAGTGGACACACCAGGCGATTAAATAACTGGGATGACAGTTATTGTACTGGGGTGACAGTTATTGTACTGGGATGACAGTTATTGTACTATGGTGACAGTTATTGTACTATGGTGACAGTTATTGTACTGGGGGGATGCAGTGGTGACCGATGTCAACATGGCATTTTCAGCGTAGTCGCAGCTGTGTCACTGCACCGTATAAACCGCAGCTCAGTAGATTGTTGAAGAATTGCAGCCCATTTGCGGCTACCCACGGCAATTGTAGTGTCGCTGTAATACACAGCAGAACTTCAGCCTCCAGTCTATTGCTGTCTCTAGTATGGAATTGCAGCCTACTGCGGCTGAGAGGGTCTATGTCCCCCGGGGTACTGCCGGAACGTACCCTGGGTACTATCTCTAGGGAGTCGCCTACGCCTACTCCCTAACCCGAACTCTCCAACCCTAATTGTAACCCTAACCCTAACCCTAATCCTAACCCTAACTATATCAAATAGGACCAGGGTACGTTCCGATATACCGGACCGTACCCAGGGTACGTTCCGGCAGTACCCTGGGGGACATAGACCCTCTGAGCCCTACCGCGGGTAATAATGAGAGGCAAGGTGGGTGGTTTGCAGAGAAGGGAGGGGGAAGAAACTGTATAACACGGTCATATAGAGTAGATAAGATAAAGAAGAGTAAAGGATAAGGGTAGAAGTGAGTATGACTATGGAAGGAATGGTAAAATAGGGAACAGTGGAGGAGAAAAGTGAAAGGAGGAAAAGGGAGAAGCTAGGTATAGAGGCAGTCGAGAATGGTGGAGAAGTGAAGTGGAGGGTTGGTAAAGGGAGGTGGAACAGTGTCATGGTGGTGTGACCTGGATGAGAGTAAAGGAGAGAAGGGTAATGGTATAAAGAGTTGATGCTTTCCATCTTTACCTTTCCCAACTCACCCTGCTACCATCTTTACCCTCCGCAACTCACCCTACTATCCTCTTTACCTTCCCCAACTCACCCTGCTACCCTCTTTACCTTCTCCAACTCACCCTGCTACCCTCTTTACCTTCTCCAACTCACCCTGCTACC